AGAAAGAAAGAAAGAAGAAAAGAAACAAGAAAGGAAGGAAGGAAGGAAGGAAGGGAGAAAGAAAGAAAGAAAGAAAGAAAACTTCTTAGAAATAAATCAACAAATGATGCAAAGAGCCTCAACACTGAAAAGCACAAAACATGATTCATTAGGAAAAATGCAGACAAACAAACCAACATGGAGTTCACACTTCATGCCCACCAGATGGCTCCGTTCCAAAAGATAAACTGAGCAGGCACGAGGAGAAATGAGAACTTCACCATTGCAGGTGGGAATGTGGGATGTGTGGTGGCTGTGGAAAACAGCTTGGCAGGTCCCCAAAAATTTAAACACAGGGTTTTTTATATCTCTTCAGTTTCCCAAGAGGATTAGCGGTGTGGCTCAATGCAAAGTCCTCACCTATCATGCCCAAGGCCCCAGGTTCCATTCCCCAGGACTAGGAAGGGAAAAAAAGTACCAAGAGAACTAAGGACACCCACACAAAAACTTATCCCATTGTGCTGGTTATTAACATGACACAAACTAGAATCACTTAGGAAGAGGGACCCTCAGCTGAGGACTTGCCACTATACTGTGGGCAAGTTTACTCTCTAATGAATGGGGAAGAGCAGGTGGACTGTGGATGGTGCAGATGGGCCTGGGTTGTATAAGAAAGAAAGCCAGTAAGCAGTTTCCTCCATGGCCTCCCCTTCCGTTCCTGCCTCTAGGTTCCTGCCTTGACTTCCCACAAAGATAAGCTAAGATGTGAAAGTGTAAACTAGATAAGGCCCTCCCTACCCTAAGGTACTTGCAGCCAGTGTTTTATCCCAAAGATGTGAAAGTGTAAACTAGATAAGGCCCTCCCTACCCTAAGGTACTTTGTTTTATCCCAGTATCCCACAACAGAGAGGAAACTGGGACACACATGAGGCTCAGCCAACACAGCTCTAGGTAGAATTGTTCCCAGATCTATAACTAAAGCAGATCAGCACGTTATTTAGCCATAAAAAGGAGGCTGGGATGTGGCACAATTGGTGGAGTACTTGCCTGCTATGCATGAAGTCCTGGGTTCCAGCCCTATTACTGCAAAATAAAAATAAATATGTGTTAATGGTGGTCATACGGGTAACCCCAGCACTTGGGAGGCAGAGGCAGTTCTAGCTCTGAGTTCAAGGCCACTGTACCATGACTGCCAAGGCTACCCAGAGAAACCCTGTTTCAAAAAAAAAAAAAATTCAAGCTACAACATGGATATTGTAGACTAACTTTGCAAACACTATGCTAAGTGATAGAAGCCAGTCCCAAAAGAACAAGCGTCATGTGATTCCATCTATATGAAGGCTCCAGACTAGGCAGTGCCATGCATGTAGAAATTGACTAAGGACTAGAAAAGTAATGAGAGGGAAAGGTGACTGCCAACACATACCAGCTTGATCAGGTATCATTTGGGGAAGAAACAAATATTCAGGAAGTAGACATTGGCAATGAATGTAAACATATGAGAATCCACAGAAATGTCCACTTTATTTTTATAAATGTGTTTATGAAGTGTTTGAAGACCACACCTTAGGATGTGGCGTCAGTGTGAGGACGTGACCCCTTATGGGGAAGAGGAAGGGTTTGCTGTCTCTCTTGGGTTGTGGTCAGTTCATCCTGTAGGAGACCCTGCATCTCCAAGAGCAGAAGACTGAGCAGTTATTTACCATCATTGTGTGAGCACTCCTCAAATAAATGTCTGTTAATTCTTTATTCTGGCTAAAGTTCATGGACTTCCTTTAACCTGCCTTCAGCTGACTTTGCCTGCACCTCTAGGGCATTGAGAGGACTGGTGTGCACCACACACCAGGCACTTACATACTTTATTATGTATTGTAGGGAGGGGGGAGACTTGTGCCACTTCACTCACCTGTGTGACAGAGGACAACTTTAGGAAGTTAATTCTTTTCTTTCCTACCATGTGGCTTCCAGGAATAGAACTCAAGTTGTCATCCCTGACAGCAAAAACCATCATGTGCTGAACCATCTCACCTACCCCAACTGTACACTCTAAACAGGTGGATTTGGGGAACTGATGGTGTAGCCCAGTAGTAGAGCATTGCTAGCTCAGCAGACTTGCCTGGGTTTGATCCCCACAGGAAAAGAAAAAATATGGGGCGGGGGGTGAATTTCATAGTATGTGTTATATCTCATATTTTTTTTGAAATAGGATTCACAATGGGAAAAAACAGAAACCCAGGCTCAGGAGGCAGAGTCAGGCAGATCTCTGTGTGTTCGAGACCAGCCTGGTCTACAGAGCTAGTTCCAGGACAGCTAGGGCCGTTAACTCAGAGAAACCCTGTCTTGAAAAACCAAAAGAAAAAGAAAAAAAAGAAAGAGAGAGAGAGAGAGGGGAAGGAAGGAAGGAAGGAAGGAAGGAAGGAAGGAAGGAAGGAAGAAAGAAAGAAAGAAAGAAAGAAAGAAAGAAAGGAGGATTCACTGTGTAGCCCTGACTGGTCTGGAACTTTCTATGTATGTAGACTAGACTGGCCTCTAACACACATATCCACCTGCCTCTATCTCTTGAGTGCTAGGATAAAGAGCATGTGTCACCATGCCTGGTCCATAACTCTTTTTTTTTTTAATTTTAAAGACATTATGAGCTGGTCATGGTGGCATCTTCTAATGATCTTATCACTGGAAGTGGAGGCAGGAGGATGAGGAATTCAAGAGCAGCCTGGGCTACAATAGACCCTATCTCAAAACAGCAACAAAAATAAAAACATACTGTTATGAATTAAATGATATCTAAGTTGATTTTAAAGTTTCTGGGAAATGGAAAAAGAAAAGCCATTTGTATAGAATAACAATCAACGAGAACAGAGGCAAGAACTGTGCTGACTACAGTAATGTTGATATGGGGTCTGCACAGACCAAGTGTTGGGACAGACACCCCAGCCACAAAAAGGTGTGCTGATTCCATTAATTTCCAGGGGCTGACAGAAAAAAAAAATGGTCAGCACAAGGTCAGTCAAGGTGGCTTAGTGGGGTCAGGTGCTCGCCACCAAGGCTGACAGCCTGACGCCCAAACCCACATAGTGAAGAAGAGAACTGACTCCAGTCTCTATATATGGGTGCTTTGTGGTTTACACACACAGTTTCAGGCCAACCAAGGTCACAGAGTGAAATCCTAACTCAATACACATACACACACACACACACACACACACACACACACACACACACACACACACACACACACACACACGAGACAGGTTTTCTCTGTATTGCTTTGGAAGTTGTCCTGCTTTGGCAGTTATTTTCATTTATGGTTTTTTGAGACAGGATTTCTCTGTATCTTTAGAGCCTGTCCTGGAACTAGCTCTGTGGATCTGGCTGGCCTTGAACTTACAGAGCTCCACGAGCCTCTGCCTCCCGAGTACTAGGATTAAAGGTGTGTTCCCCCCCCCAGCGTTGTTTTTTTTTTTTTTTTTTTTTTTTTTTTTTTTTTAAATACCACAAAGTCAGTGGAATTCTCTTTCCTCGCAGTTCTGGTGACTGAAATCTGTATCAGGCCCAAGTCAAGGCATTTGCTAGGGCTACAATCCTTCTGCAGGCTCCGCCAGCTCTGGCAGCCTGACCCTGCTGGTTTAAGGCCAAGACAACCCTGTCTTTACAAATCAGCACTTTCAAACCTTCTGAAGATGAGAGTATTGAGTCGGCGTGGCAGTGCACTACGTAATCCTAGCATGGGGAAGCAGAGGCAGGAGAATCAAAGTGAGTTCCAAATCCTGTCTCAAAATAAATGAGAGAAGAAGGGAGATGGGGTGGGGGGGAGGAAAGAAGTGTCTCTTTCTTCATGTAGCCCAGGCTGGCCTTGCACTTGTAGCGATCTTCCTTCCTCTGCATCCACGGTACTGGGATTACGGGGAATTGAACATATACCCAGCTTCTCTGCTGTACCTTTACAAGGCTTCCTAGGTCATGTTCATGTGTGTGTGGTTTCATGCATATGTGTTTATGCGTGTGTTTACACATGTGTGCATGTGTGTGTATATGTGTATGTGCATGTGTATGTGTGTGTGTGTGTGTGTGTGTGTGTGTGTGTGTGTGTGATCTCCCATATCTTCCTTATCTGCGTTCGAATCTGCACCTGCATGGATTATCCAGGGTCATATCAAGATTCTAAACTTAACTGTACCTGCAAAGATTGTGCGTGGAAGGTGACATTCATAGGCTCCAGGGAATAGGGGATGTGAACCTTGGCTGGCTGGGAGTGAGGAGTTTGCTAATGCAGATTAAGGACAGAAATCCCAGGTCTAGTTCTGAACGCTTAAAACAATTAAACCTCAGAATTCAAGCAAGACAACTCATGACCTCAGAAGAATGATTTCCTACTAAAGCCAAAAGATTCACCACTGATATTACTGTGAAGTGACTATCCTCCAAGCCAAGCAACCACCATCTTGGGAGAATACAGCTTTGCCCAGCTGCAAAAGGGTTAACCCAGCTAGACTTGTTGACAGTTTATGCCCCTCATGGAGGGGTAGGGAGGGTCACCTGACCCTCTTGTAAACAACCAGCCACTCTCTCTATATTGTATGCTACTCTGCCTTAATTGAATGTAGGCTGGGAGGGGCTAGAATATATAGGTGGGGGAATAGAAAGGGGGGGGATCGACTTGTCTTAGTTTTCTATTGCTGTGATAAAACACCATGACCAGGCCAGGCACTGTGGTGGTGGTGGTGGTGACAGCAGCTCACACCTTTAATCCCAGCACTCAGGTGGCAGAGGCAGGCAGATCTTTGTGAGTTCGAGACCAGCCCAGTCTACAGAGCCAGTTCCAGGATAATCAGGACTGTTACACAGAGAAACCCTGTCTTGCAAAACAAAAACAAATATAAAACACCATGAACAAAAGCAAGTTGGGGAGGAAAGGGTTTATTTCAGCTTACAGTTCCACACCATAGTGTGGAAGTCAGGACAGAAACGCAAACAGGGAAGGAACCCAGAGGCAGGAGCTGATGCAGAGACCTTGGAGGAATGCTGCTTACAGGCTTGCTGCTCTTGACTTGCTCAGCCTGCTCTCTTATACCATCCAGGACACCTGCCCAATAGCGGTAATCACTTACCATGAGCTAGACCCTCACCCATCAGTCATCAATCAAGAAAATGCACCACAGGCTTGACCACAGGCCAGTCAAGTGCGGGCATGTTCTCTATTGAAGTTCCTTCTTCCAAAATGACTCTCTCTTGTGTCAAGGTTACATAAAACCAGCCAGTATAGGGCCCTATCTATGCAACTGTGGGGTAGCCCTCATCCCTGATGGGTAAAGGCCTTCTGAGTAAAGCCTTTCAAGGGAGGAGCCCACATCCCTGTAACTGGCCCCTCTCTAAGGAAGCCCAGTAAAGCCGCCGGTTCTCCGGAGTGAAATCTGGTGGAACTGTGCCTCAATTTGTCATTGCAACCTTGGGAGGAGGGGTAGATGTTGTTTACTCTCCCCTTGGGATGGAATTTAAAAATTGAAAAAAAGAAAAGAAACAGAGAACATGGTTCCATCAGTTAGGTCCTTTGCAAGCATAAGGACCTGACTTCAAATCCACATTAAACTTACAATTTAAAAAGCTGGGCGTCGCCAGATGGTGCTGGCTCATGAGGCAGAGGCAGGCCAATCTCTGTGAGTTCAAGGCCAGCCTGGTCTACAAAGAGTTCCAGTATAGCCAGAGAAACCTCATTTTGAAAAAAAAAAAGCTTGATGGTGCGTGTTTGACACCCTAGCTGTAGTGAGATGATTGTGACCCACATAATCTATGTAAATATGGTAACCCACAAATGGGTAACCCACATAATTTATATAAATGCGTACATATGTATGTATGCATGTGTGAAATTCTACATGCAGAGGCTGGGTCAGAGCCACTTTCTGCAATACTCCAAGACAGACACACGGTGGCGCCCACAGCCCATAGGCTGCTGCCACTCAGTCCCAGCTTCCAGGCAGACGGATGAAAAGACCAGGTAACACTTCTCTGTTCCAGGGAGTGGCCATGTTCATGACAGCCACCCAGTTCATGATCAGGAGGCTGGACTAGTGGGATCAGAGGAGGGGCTTACCCAGAGGAGGAGGGAAACAGAAGAGAGTACTGGTTTGGGATATTGCCAGCCAGCCCCCCTTTCCCCCAAAACACGTCCACCAGTAATTTTAGGACCTGGGTAGACGTTATGTTCAATGACAAGTGTCCTTAGAACAAGAGAAGACAGACCTGGGGAGGGTCACACAGAAGCAGGCTGAGGCTGGCATAAGAGGCAGGAAGAATCTTGGAGCCTTCAGGCATCTTCATCTCGGCCTCCTGCCCTACGGAGGCCAAAAGCATCCTTTCTGTTATATTCAGCCACCAGCATCATGCTCTTTTGTTACTGCAGCTGCAGGAAACTGATACATATGTTGAAAATCTCCCCCTGCCACTCACCCTACCTGTCAACTTTTTCCCCCAGTTATCTACAGAAAGATGTCCAAGACCCCCAACACTTCATCCCACAATTTCTCCATCCACACTACCCCCACTCAGGCTTTCAGACCTCTCAAGCACTGTTTTTGGTGGTCTTTGTCCAAGGTGGCCTTCCTTTCCTTATTAGGCCTCTGCACAAATCCTACCCACCCTTTGAGGACCTCCTACAATGTCCCCTACTAAACAATTTACGGTGCTCTGAGTTACTGGCTCTCTGTAAACCTGCATTCTTCCATCTCCCCTGCCACAGAATTCACTCACTCATTGTCAGTGTCAGCTCAGCTCTGTGTGACCCCAGGAGTCCCAGCCCTGACCTTTCCACACCTAGAACTACTATTCTAGCTCAGGCCTCTCCATGTTTGTGTCTGTGCATTATGCGCAGGTGTCCATGTTAGCATTCGTGGAGGCCAGAGGCAGATGCTGGGTGTCTTCTTCCATTGCTCTCACATTATTCTTTAAATGGATTTATTGAGAGGGAGAGAGGAGAGAGAAGAAAGAAGAGAGAGGAGAGAGAGAGAGAGAGAGAGAGAGAGAGAAAGAGAAAGAGAGAGCTCACAGGTATGCAAGTGTGCCACAACACAACTAGATGTCAGGGACAGCTTTTATCTGCTGAGTCAGCTCATCAGCTGCCTTATTTGGGGGGACAGGGTCTCTCACTGAATCTGGAGCTCACCGGTTGGCTGGACTGGTTGGTCAGTGAGCCCTCCAGGATTTGCCAATGGCCTCCTTCCCCACACTGGAGTTACAGGTACATTGCCTCACCCAGCTTTGTTCATGTGCTCTGGGAAGCAGACCCCAGGTCTGAATGCTTGTACAGCAAGGGAGGGCCTTACCCACCGACCCATCTCTCCAGCCCTAGATGCCCCATCTTTCACCAGAGTCCTGGTGCTACCTCCTCACTATGGCCTCTCCAGGCAATCACCTCTCCACAGTCCTGCTGCTCAGTCTATGTGTATCACACAGTCCTGCTCCAAAGCCTCCTATGGCCCCTGCTTCTTCGAAGTGACTGTCCAAAAGGGGAAATGATATCTTCAAATCTCCCTTCCCCAGAATTCCCTTCTAGTGCTCCACATGTCTCACATTACATGGTCTGGGCCTTCGCACAGACACTGCCCTTCACCTGTGCTGCTGCTGGCTAGATGCTCAATATTGTGGGTTTGCTCAAGACAGTACTGACCTAGCATCAACACTAAACAAGCTAACACTTCCCAAGGCTGACCACAGAGCAGATACTGTTTCAAGCTCTCTCCACACTTCATCCTGAGTCCTCTTAATGACCCCAGCAAAAAGACACCATTACTGCCCATAGGTGGGAAAATCAAGGGCCCAAAGAAGAAAGGACTATGCAGAAGAAGCAGCTGCTGACCCCTGCCTGCACTGTCCTTCCTCTAGGTGGGGCCTCTGAAACGTCAGACTGGGTCCTGAAAGTCCCCTTACCCACCAACCACCATTTGGAATTAGCCCCTTCTGCAGTGGTCTCTCCCAGGGAACTTCTGGAAAGCCCGGCTTGTCTAGGGCCCTGGCAACTGGTGCAGGGAGGGTGGAATGGATGAGGAATGGGGCTAGTTTCCAGGGAAATGAAATCCTGGGGATTTCTCACCCTCCACAAAGAAAAGAACAAATTATGCAAATTCTTGGGCCCAGGCCCCTGGCCACCTCCTCAGCTCCCCTCCTCAGCCTCTCCCTGAGCTTCTGGGAGGGTGTAGGGCTCAGCAGAAAGTGCCCCGGGCTCTCCAGAAGCAGTTTCCTGATTACAAACGAAACTGGGGCTCAGAACTGGTGAATCACTGTGGCCGCCAGCCAGGACATGCTGGGTGTCAGGTGGGGCGAGCAGGATGCTGACATGTTGCTGGCCTTCCTACCTTCTGCCAACCTCAGTGTTGCCACCGTCACATCAGGTCTCGGTGACGACGTCTAGACAAGGACCCAGCTCTGAGTATGGAAGAGTTTGAGCAACTTCTCCTACCCCAGGTCCAACCCCAAGGAACCAATAGCCCAAGTGGTTCACAAACCACCTGCCCCTGGAGGCAGAAGCAGCTATCTCTGGGTTCAAACGCCTTAATGGGCAAAGCGGTAACACTCACAGGTAGAGGGAACCTCGAACTAAGAGCCCAGGTCCAGGCTCAAACCCCAAACCCACTCACAGTCCATGGGGATATGACCTTTGACACATTTCTTAGCATCTGCAGGCCTCAGTTTCCCCCACAGTAAATGGGAGGAAATGAGTTATCCCCAGTATGTTGGGCTTGTTGAAAGGGAGGTGGGGTACACAGGAACAAGGCTTCCAGAACTCCTGGATAAAAGCTCCTTTATACAGAGGGGATTGGGGGGCCGGTTAGAGAGGTCACTTAGTTGGTAAAGTGCTTGCTGCAAGAATGTGAGGTCCAGAGTTCAATCTCCATTGCCTAGGTAAAAAACAAACAAACAAACAAAAACAAACAAAAAACAGGCATTCATTGCAACACAGGCTCCTTTTTCATTCTTTCTTATTTGTTTGGTTTGTTTGTTTTTGTCTTTTTGTTTTGTTTTGCTTGAGACAGGGTTTCTCTGTGTAGCCCTGGCTGTCCTGGAACTCACTGTAGACCAGGCTGGCCTCAAACTCACAGAGATCCACCTGCCTCTGCCTCCCGAGTGCTGGTATAAAAAGCATGCGCTACCACTGCCCAGCTCACAGGTTCCTATAATCACAGAATTGGGGAGGATTGGGAACACAGGAGAATTCCTGGTGCCTGCTAGCCAGATAGTCTAAGCAATCAGTGAGCCCCAGGCTCACTGAGAGACCTGTCTCAAAATATAAGGTAGATAGATACGGGGCGAGGTAGCAAATGCCTTTAATTCCAGAACTCAGGAGGCAGAGGCAAGTGGATCTCTGATCTCAATGAGTTCAAGGCCAGCCTGGTCTACATAGACTGGCCCCATCTCAAAAAAAAATTAGAAAGTGGAAAAATCATTGAGGAAGACATTGTGTTGGCCTCTGCACACATACATTCAAGTGTATGTGCGTGTGCACACACAACACATACATAGTATAATGATAATACATACATACATACATACATACATACATACATAAAATACTTAAAAGAATGTTTTCACAAGGAGGCGCATCAGAAGAGGTCCTTGCTGTCATCAGAGAAGAATGTGTCAGAACTATCTTGTGGCCTTTGCCTACCCCCGCCCCACCCCATGCCTGTCCCTCAGAGACAGTGGGGGCAGGGAGGGAGGTCATGCTTCTGGAGATTCCTTGGCTAGGCAAGCCTGGGAACCCCCGCTGAGTGTTGGGTCTTTGCTGGAGGCTTCTCCTGACTAAATCACTTTCCACCCACCTGGTAGCATGTCTTTGGACCAGAATCAACTTTCCCTTCCCTAATAATAACACAAATCAGAACGGAGTGTGGCGTAAGCACCAGCCGAGCTGGCGCTAAACGGTTAGTTAATTGACCTCATAGGCAATTACTTTCAGCTCTGCCTTACAGGGGGAACAACTGAAGCCAGGAAGGTGAATTACTTGCTCAGAGTCACACAGCTGGATGGCACTTTAGCACAGCCTTTACAGACTGTCGCAGCACTTGGACCAGGCTGTTAGCCATAGCTGGCCTAGGAAAGCTGCTGCTCCTCCCAGGGCAAATCACAGGTTAAAGGGCCCCGCTGTTGCTGCAGTACAACCCACACCACCAAATCCCTGGCCTTTCCTTTATCAGGCTCCACACTGCATTCCTGAGGGGCCACAGAAGGCATTCTACAGCATGGGAAGCCGGACTCAGAGGATTCCAACCCCCTCACCATCCCTGCCCTCACCTTTCCCTTCTCCTGTGCCTGTCTCCCAACCCCACCACACTGTTAGCATCTCTCTAGAAATGGCATACCTTTGGCCAGACTGTTTTCCTGGGCTGTTTCAGGAATCCACAGTGAGAAGCTGCTGCCTCTTACGAGAAGCCCTCTGTAACTGCCTCATGCTGCTGGACCAGCTCCCTCCAATACAGCTGTCTCAAAAGCCCACAAAGTGTGCCCGTAGGGCTGGTTTCTGGGTACTCTGAGCTAGGGGGCTGTGGAGAAGAACAGAAACAAATGGGGGGGGCACTGACTTTTTCCACTTGAGTGAGGAGTGACTCCCGGGCCACAGCTCTGGTCTTTTTTCACAAGGTCATGCCCCTCAGGTCCTGGATCAATACCTGTTGGGTAACCATCGGAAGAGCTGGCTGTGATAACCTTCAGGGCCGTGTTGTTTTCTTCTGCAGGGTGGCCTTTGGCCATCCCCACACTGGTTGTCACCCCTGAGCCCTGGAGCTTCGCTATGAAGTATATCTGGCCACTATCTCCCAGCAGGTCCTGGGCCTTAGCCAATTCCATCCTTCAGGGTATGGAAGTCTCAGAAAAGGTGAAGGCATCTCAGCTCATCTGTGTTGTGTCGTCCCCCATCCCCTCCAGCTTCGTAGGCAGAAAGATCTGTCCTTCCTCTAGACTCAATCTCCCCTGAAGAAGCTTCGAGGGCAAAGTTGACACTTGGGAGAGCCCTGCCTACCGGCCTGGGCTCCAGGACTTTCATACTCAGCCCCAGTACTTAGGTACTCAACTCCTCCAGTCGGCCAGTATTCTAACTATTCTAAGGCTCCTCACTTCCTATCCCACATGGGGTACAGTCTGAGTCCTGCTGGCTAGTGTTCCAGAGGCCCCTCCCACGCAGCCAGAGCTGAGGGGCTGCTCCCAGGCCTGTCTGAGTCACCGCCCCTGAGGGTCCTTGGGATTCTTGTAAACAGGAAGCCCCTGCTCCCCCCTCACAGACCTCCATGTTGTGCAGACACTGGGCTCTGAAAACCAGGACTCTTGAAGGAAAGCCTGATACTGAAAGATCTAGAGCACCCCTGCACATAGTGGGTATTCAGTAAACTTGTTAAGGAGCCCAAAGCCCGCCCCCCACACTCCCACGGAAGAGCAATATCATTGAAGGGGTGGACACTGGGCCACCAGGGCCTGGCAGCCCTGGTGGCCTGGTCCCCAAGGCTCAGCATCCCCCCACTGTCCCTGTCTGGCTCCGCCCCAGCTCTGGCAGCCTGAGCCAGGCCACTGTCTCAAGGCCCTTTATTTTTAAAATCCCTGTGGTATTCCTGCCTGAGCCTAAGGAGCAATGCCAGCCACAGTGAGCCTGCGGCCTGGGCTCGGGCCCAGAGGCGCCGGGCGGGGCATCCGGCCACCCTGCAGCTGCTGGGCAATTCTGGGAGGGCTTTGAGGCCAGCTGCCCTGCTGAGGAAGCCCTGGAATGCCCAGACTTTCAGGCCTGAGGCTCTGGCCCTTGTCCTTGGTGGAGAAGGGGTCCACTAGGGTGGAAGCTGAACTGTGACTGAATCCAGTGGTGCACGCTGCTGCAAAATGAGTCACGGTCTCCCCATATCTGATCCAGAAAACTGAGAAGAAAGGGGCACATATCGGCCCTGAGGGAGAGACAGCCAGGGGCCTACAGAGGAGATGGCTTTGTGGTGGTGGAATAGGTCTGTAAGGAGCCTCAGACTAGAATCCAAGAAGCCCAGCCCAGGCCTCGCTCCAGCTCTTTCCAGCTGTCTGACCTTGGGGGAATCACTCAACATCTCTGGGACTTCAGTTGCTCCCCTGTAACAGGGAAGCATCGTGGAAGGCTGTGGTCACTCCCAGATACTGTGGGGAAAAGATTTCACAGTCCCTTCCCTCATGGAGCTGGGGGGAAAGGGTCATTGTATAGTAGTTCCTAAGGACAGAGGGGGGACATAAATAAAAGGTTAGTGATGGACTGTGGAGAGAGAACCAGGGGGAGATCTCACAGGGCTCTGAGTGAGCTGGTAACCTTTCTGCTATGTTGGCAAAGAGCCTGGTAGGCAGAAGGAATGGCAGTGCAAAGGCCCTGAGACAGGAGGAGGTGGGAGTGGCCTAAGTAGAGGACACGGAAAGGCTTTGACCTGGAAGGAGTTATTAGCTGTCCCTAGAAGAAGCTGGAGCAGGCTGCGTCAGACAGACTCATGTACACTCTTGGGCTGCCCCTGTGCCCCTTCTCTTTCATTTAGTGTATGAGGAACGCCAGGGTGGCGGGCCAGCCAATGTGTTTGTTATGCTCCCTTGATTGACACAGGGTGCTCACCCTGAGCCAACTTGTTCTTACCTTTGATCCTCCCAGAAGTGAGGTAAGGCAAAGAGGACTCATTACTATATTCTCAGTTGATAGGTGCGGAAACTGAGGCAGGAGGGGCAGAGCAATGATGGCGGTTTGTCCAAATCACCTACTTCACATCTTCCATGTGAAGAGATGGCTCAGCCTTCAGACTAACCCCTTCACCCTAGGCCAGCCGGCTTCTCCTGTGGTAGCCCTTTGTGTACCCAGCCTTGGCTGCCTTAAAAGCATGTCCTGCCTCATCCCACCCTTCACCCCAGTACCTACAAACCCCAGCACACAGTCTTCAACCAGGAGGCACCAGCCACTCTTCCCCAGCCCCCACCCTTCAGAGCAGGCAAAGAATGTGGCCTGAGCTTCCCTTGGGGGCTCTGGCCAGCAAGCCTTGGCAGGAGACCTCGCTGAGTCAACACAAGGCTAGCTGGAGCTCACACTGCCCACCAAAGCAGCATTAGAGACCCAGAAGGAATGACTGCCTGCTCCCACCCTCCCTCCCTACAATAACCCCCCTTCCTGCTTGGGACTCCAGCCAACAGGGTTAACTCTTGAGACTCTGTGGACAGGTCACTGGTCAGTACCCCAGCAGAGAGGTGCTGTGGACCTCAGGCAAGTCACAACCCCATTCTGGTTCATTTTCCTCACCTGTGAGAGGCTCATCCTTGTGGAGCCTCTATGATGTAACAGAGAGTTCTCTACAGTAAAACCTTAGGAGTGGCCCCTCTGCCAGACGGGAGTGTGAATTCTTGACTTCAAACGCAATAGTTTGCTCTTGTAGCCAGTCCCCTGACCTGGTGCTTAATTAGTCTGTTGGGCTGTGACAGTGAAGCCCACGACAAAGCTCTAAGCCTGGGCAGCTACCATTGCTATGACACACAGCCCAGCCTGCATCTGTAAAACAGCTTTCCTGGGCTGCTTCTTTGATGGTAGGCATTATTCTTCCCATTTTACAGACAGACAAACTGAGGCAAGGGAGGATAAGAAGCTTTCCCAAGAGTTCTAGCTGGGACTTGCTGGAGCCAGGCCTTTCGACACTTGAAAGGAACTTCAGGGACATCTCTGTGTGTGGCAATTGAGGTGGAGGGAGGGACAACTGGGGAGCAGAAGGGGTGGGTTGAACTCTGCTGTTTCAGGGAGACATCTTGCCTGGTTGGAGTCACCCTCTCAGGAGAGTGGTGAGCTCTCTGCCATCCAAAGGATGTGTGTAGCAGCTGTCCATCAGACATGTTCGGCAATTCCTACCCCAGGAGGAAGTGGGTACCACGTTTGGGACTCCTTCTGACACTTTAACAGGGAGAGGGAGAGGACTGTGTGTGATCTTAAAGCCTTGAGTGTTCTGTGAGGGGCCATAGACCCACTTTTCAGGGCAGTTTTCACACTCCCCAGGAGGAAGTCTCTGTGTGCCCTCGGCCCCGTGTCCTCACTGGACAATGGACTGTGAGGATGAAAAAGAACACAGCCAGCCCAGCCTGCCAGCTCCACACAGCAGGGTCCAGCCCTGACCATCTTCCTTCCATCATCAGCAAAGAGAACAGGAAACTAGGAGCCAGCAAGCCTGGTGGGGTGGAGGCAGGGACAGAGGTGCCATTGGCTGAAGCAGGGGCTGGGCCAGGAGTGCCAGTGCATTCCTTTCTGGACTTGAGACTGTCAACCCCATGGGCAAGAGCCCACGGGGGGTTCAGTGGAGAAGCCTCACTTACATATCTTGGGCCAGGCTGGAAGGACTGTGTTGGTGATGATCAGAGCCCATGCCTGGCCCACAGCCCAAGGGCCTATCTCTCCAGCCAGGCTGGACCATAGAGAATAGGCTATTGTTTGTCCTGCTATTACAGTGTTTCCTGTCCCCCAGCCCCTCCCCTCTCACCCTCCCCCTCAAGTAAAGAACAAAGGTCTCCTGGATGTGGACCCCTCCCCACCCTTCCATCCTGGGCCTGGCCAGCTTGGAAGTATTCAGTCCCATCACCCAGGGGACAATGGGTCACCTGGCCCTGACCTCTTCTGATGTCCTTCCCACCCTTTGCAACTGTAGGCTCCTCAAACCCCCCCACCCCATGTTCCCCTGTGTCCTTCTCAGGGTGGGGCCAAGGAACCAGCCCCACACCCTTCCTCAGCTCCCCCCCACCCCATGTCTTGTTCTCCTGGAGAAAGAGAGACAGTGTGCAGTGGGGTGGGGGAGTCCTTCTCTACCGCATTTCCCTGTGGACCAGGGAGCTAGGAACCAGAGCTAAGCCTCCCAGAAGGCTCCTCAGGAGAGAACTCATCCAAGTTCTTGCCTTTTTCCCAGAGCCTGGAATTCCAGAGGCGTTTCTGGCTCCACAGCTGTCTCTGAATTGTGCTCTGTGGGCCTCTAGCTCCACACCCCATGAAATCCTTGGGATTAACTCCTGTCTTGGCCCCATGGCACTCAAGAACCCCTTCACACCCAGGCTTGAGAAGCAGCTAAGAGAGACAGACTGGCACTCATCTGTGGTCATCAGGCCATCCCCAATTCTGAGATGTCAGTCCTCCTCAGATAATGCTTCCTGACCGTGGCTACATGCACACATGCCACACATACTCATAGTGTATCCAGCCTGCTTTTCGGGCCTTCTAGTTTATACAGCCTCCTTAACTGTATCCATAGAGCCTCTTCCTCGTCCAGGAAGCCTTCCAGGAATTGTGATGTCTCCTTGTGACCTCACTGTGGGCTGCTTTTATAGTCCCTTTGGAGCAAGAAGATACAGCTTACGTTAAAAGCTACCCTGGAGTGTGTGACAGCCCAGGGGTCACATTGCTACGTGGCCCTGACAGGTCTCATCCTCTGTCCTCAGTGTCCCCAGTAGTCTGTTATGAACACTGACTCCCTACCAAGTTGATTCTTGGGGTTCTTGGGTAGGAGAGAGGAAGAAGAAGTCAAAGATTCCTTCCAGAAAGTTCCAGAAGGTTTCCTATCTCTCAGAACTGCTTCAGCATTTAAGGTCAGCAAGGGAATGAAAAACACCAACAGTTAGTAAAGGGACCTGAGTAATACCAGGGCCAGATGACCAGCCTGGCCTATGTCACATGGGGCCCCCACACACCTCTTTCAGCGTGCCTCAGTTCCTCTCTTCACTTCATACTCCATGGGAAGGCAGGCCAGCAGCTCATCTTCTACCTGGCCAAGTCACAAACCATCCTTAGGTGTGCCCAAGCTCACCTCCACCTCTTTGCCTTCACAAACCCAGCTCCATCTCCACAAGGCCCAGCTCAAATGCCATCTTTTCCAAGAAGCTTTCCTGCCAGGGTTATAATTCACTGTTTCCTTTGACCAGGATTTTAGACTCTTGTCTTCCTCATTAAATCTATCCCTGGGGAAAGCAACTGTTAGCTACCCTTCCCTGACAATCCCCACACATCCTAGCCCAGGGCTTCTCCCAGCAGCTCTTCCCTTGGCACATGTAGGTTGAATTTGGCCCATGGGAAAAGTAAATGAAAACAAAGACTGTAACAACCACCTTTCTCCGGCCACAACCACAGAACCAGCTGTGACATCCATGCTTTGTCATAGACTGTCCAACTGAGGCCCAGGCAAACGGTCACACTGCCAGTGGCAGGCAATGCTGAGATGCGAACCTAACTTTGCCTGACTTAGAAATGTATTCCAAGAGCCGGGTGTTGGTGGCA